TCGAGCACTACGCTTCAAAGGCTTCGGCTTGCAATACCTCGAAGCTTTCTCCATCCAATGCCATGCTCAGTAGGCCAGTGCATCCGTGTTGTGCTCTACCATAACTACGGTCTCCATCTGGTGTTGTATTGTTTCCTCTGATTCTACATCGCGTCGCGGGAGTCCGAGGCATCCCGGCCTATCAGTTTCTGCGTCTTAGATGTGCTGAGCTTGGTGTACTAGATGCCTGAGCCGGTAAACGGACTTTGGGAAGCTTAACAAACGCCCCACCAACCAGACAATCTGTAGTCTAATTGACCATCAGACCAAACACAGCTGCGCATGTAGATGAGCAAAATTGAGCTACGAGTCAATCTGATCCAGGCGGTGTTCCATCTTTCATCATTCCAAACGACGGGATCTCGGTATAGATCCTAAACACCTGCCCACATACCTGAATAGCCCGACAAGTCGCAGTTGTCAGCGCTGACGTAGCAGATCTGATCCTTGAAGCTGTCCGTACCACAACCTGGAATACTGTGTGGGTAGAATCCCACTAAACTTAAACCCGTCCTCTACATGGAGGACTTGCAGAGGCTGCACGCAAATCCGACTTGAAGAGATTTCAAGTTTGTAGCTCGGGATGGAGGGTTTGGGGTTTAGGAGCTGCTTGGTATGGGGGCTTAGCATTGCAGGGCTTCTGTAGCTAGGGTTACACATTCCATGGAGGTTAAAAAATGCCATCTGCGTTCGGCGACTATGTGCTGCAGGCTCTTGAAAGCTTTGTTAAGATTCGGGAAACGGACGCAGAATGCTTTCAGGAAAAGGGATGGAACCAATCCAAGCTGGCATCGGCATCTTCAGAACATCTGAGCCGGGCGACCCATCCAATATTGACGGTGTTGCATTCAGGTTGAGAGCCTGAGAGCCTCCTTCTGGGCATCAAGACTCGATGCATCACAATGTCAGGGCTGATGCCGGAACTCCGAATAAGCCCACGCTTGCCAACTGTTATCCAAGGAATCCAAGGGGCCGCTGCTAGGTTTCGCCTGCGCATGACGGTGTTGAAGAAATCAGGCTTTCTTTGCTGGGGATTTTTGGGTTAAGGGTTTAAGTGTAGGATTCCCGAAGCCTAAACCTCAGCTCCGGGCACCGGGGTGGGACAGCACCTTGCGGACGTTACGAGGTCTGACTTTGAGGCAATGGTGCGCAGCAAGAACTCCGATGCGGCGTAGGAAACACTCCGCAGTCAGCAGCTAGACATTACATATTGGAAAAGTCCCATAAAGGCACAAAGCACCAAAACACGACACTGAAACCTTCAGCCCTGGTGAACATCAACATCCTACCTGGGCCCGGTGTAAGAAGAAGTCCTGAGCCCCGTGACAGCCGACAGGTCTCATCATTTTCGGCAAACCATGCTACCCACCGCATTACGATCCCACCGTCATCTATCAAAGACCCAAAAACACAAACCATTTTCCCACAAGCCTTCAAACCCCTAAATCCCGTTTGCTGAGAGCTCCTATGCAACTCAAACCCGACGTTCATTTACATCAACAACCCTACACCGTGAATCCTTAACCCTGAAGCAAAAACTAAAGCCTGAATCCCAAGCGTTATAGACGATGCCCTAAACTCCAGAAGCCCTGTCCGAGAGCAACAGCCCTTTTTGGCTGGGCCCGGGCCTCTGGGTGTGTCAAACCCGGGGGTGGCCTCAAGAGTCGGGCGTGCAGGTGTTCGGCCTGCCTGTTTCCCTCTCTCCATCCCCGTCTCTTTCTCTCCTTCTGTCGGCCTCTCGGTGTCTCTCTCTCTCTCTCTCTCTCTCTCTCTCCCTCTCCATATATGGTCATACTAAACGTATGTCTGCATACCTACTGCCTACCTACCTACCTGCCTGCCTGCCTGCCTGCCTGCCTGCCTGCCTGCCTGCCTGCCTGCCTGCCTGCGTGTCACCTATTTGGGTATCTATATTTCTTTCTGTCTCTTTGCCTGTCTGGTCACACGTTCATAAGTTACCGTAGGATTTTCGGGAAGCAAGACATACGTCTTGGCAAGATACATGGGCTGGTAACCCATGCCTTCCGAAACAAGTGAAGCAACCGCAGGACATGCTCGTGAACATTCCCTTCCCCCGCAAACCCCCACTCCCATTCCTGTCCCTCAAACGAGGCTGACCAAGTTGCAAGCCTCCTGAAAACCTCAAAATCAACAGGCAGCCGAACGGTAAGTTACGCAACGTACAAGGATGTACAAGGACTTCCGTATCTACCTATCCATCCATCCATCCACCCATCCATCCATGCATCCATCCGTCGATCCATCCATCCATCCATCCTTGTCTATCTGTCTGTCTACTTTTATATCTATTCACCTATTTTTCGACCTGTCTATGTATCTGTCTATTTGCCTACCTATCCATCTGTCTATCTGTGGACCTGTCTATCTGTCCACTAATATGTCTACCTATCTGTCTGTGTCTCGATCTACCTAGCTACCTGTCTTCCAATCTATCTTCCTACCTACTTATCTACACAAATAAACAAACAAGTACATGCACACGCACACACACAGACACACACACACATGTATACATGTGTACACGTATACATGTATACATACATACATACATACATACATACAGACATACATAAATACATAAATACATACATACCCAATAAACAAAGATGTGAACATATATGTCAACAAAATGATTTACTTAATTGCTTACTTGTTTTTGCATTTGTTGTATTTGTTGGCGCAAGCGCACCGCAGTCTTCTGCGCCGGGCTACCTGCCCGCCGTTGCTGGGCTTGTCACATTCGTTTCAAGCCTTTGTTCATGCCGCCATGCGCAAGCTCGGCAGGCCTGGTGTTGGTGGCTGGTGAGGAAGTGTTTCATCTCGTGAAACTTGGGATCGCCCGAGATGCCAACATCCTTCCTAGGACAGGGAAACATTTGCAGATGCCAGGGCCTGCTCAGAATTCCGTACGGGCCACCTAAGGACAAAGCACCTTGGCAGTGATTCTGCTTTATCTAACGTTGGGCCGCTGCGTCCTGTCATTGGCCTCGAGCTATAGGCACATTCGCCATCGAAAGCTTCGGTTGGCCTTCGATGTTACTTCTTGTGCGGTGTCACAGGCGAGGACATCCCCAGCCAGAGACGAACCCCTGAGTGAGAAGAGCTGCCTACTTTCGAACACTTCACCTGCGATAGCTCAGCGAATACATCCCCACACAGGTCGTCGTAGTAAGCACACGGCTTTTCATCCACCAGAGTGGGATGCAAGAAACACTGGGGACAGCAGCTTACTTGCGTCAGCCATTCTCACAGACCGCAAAGCAGTGTTCTCTTGCTTAAGTGCGCCTGCGGCAGGAAACCGTCTACACAGAATCATCGCGCACCAACATGGTCTTGCTTATTCGGTGCCTCATACGGACTGTGCTGTCTTTTCAAACATATTCTGGTCGCTTTTCAAGGAGAAGATGCGATTTCTTGCCGAGTCTCTGCCGGTAGGCTGAAGTGACAGGCGTGAGTGGCTTAAAATTGTTTTTGACGCCATTCCACTGCTCTATGAGCTGCGCGGCATCGGCCACCTGGCAACGCTGAACGTGACGATTCATCCCTTGCCCTGCCTTACCGTCCCTCCTTTTCAGCATTTCAACACTGACGGTGGTGGTGTTGCTAGTAGCTGTAGAGCATTTGCAGCAGCAGCAACAGCAGTAGCCGTCGGCGTAGTTGTTGCTGCCGTCGCAGTAAGCAGTCGCGACCGAGGGCTCAGCCCTAGGCACGACGACACAACCTTTACCTTACATCACCAAAGCATGCGCCTCGCTGCAATAGCCTTCGCCTTGGCGCTCCTCTGACATCCGATCTTGGGCTCGAAAGGCGGGGATAAGCTCAAGAACTCCCAAAGACATTATTGCGGCGATCTTGCTGCTCATAGTGTAAAGGACTCTTGCTGCTCATAGTGTAAAGGACTGCGAAATTTCAACAGATGAAGGGTTATTTTTAGTCTACATGCGAGAGGCATGTGCCTATTTCAACCTTCTACCCTTGAACCATAAGGCCACAAGAAGCACAACAGCGGTCCCCAAAGGCTTTGCATGTTTTATTTGCAACTTCTTCTGCGAGGCCAGCACATAACGCTGTTCTTCGCCTGTGCCTAGCACCTCATCAACTCTGCTTGTTGCACGACTTGCAATTCTTCAGGACGATGAACACGAGAAACTGCAAGCTGTAGGCCGACGGCTTCAGCAATGGTTCCGACAATTTGGTCTTTCCAAGCCTCGTAACAGTCAATAGCAGAGTCTAGTTAAAAACCCTTGAAATCTCATGGGATGAACAGATTATTTCGATTCGAATCGGCCTGCAAGCTTGACCCCAGTTGCACCTGGCATGCTGGACTATGTCGGATCTGTTCTTGAGATTCTTGAGCCCTGCCTTCGCCACAGTCCGACAAAGATTTACTGCAGCAAACGGTAACCCAGCAAGAGGTGCTTCCGCAAGGGTGACCCGGTCGCCAACCTGATTGCGCAATCGAGGACAGAGGTTAACTTTACTGACATGAACCGGCGGACATGAGTGAAGACAAGGCCTGGAAGCTTTCTGCCCGTCGATGTAGCAACCGGCCCTGCCACCAGTCTGCAAAGAATCAAAAATTGAAGACTGTGCTGGCCAGTGCGACGTTCGGCCATGTTCTGCCTGGGTGCTTCCCATCACTTCAAATCCCGTGTTTTCCCTCAAGGTCCGAGCTGAGAGCACAATGCGCGTCATGGAGTCATGGCATATCTCCCGTCAGCACAGGATCTGCCCCATCTCTGAGATCACTCTGGAGGATGCACCGCTCCAGATCCAGCAAGTCTTCGCCGGGAAGGTGGCCACGCCAGCTTCCGGCGAGAGTTGAAAATGGCAGGTCATACTGGCTGCACAGTGACGAAATTTCCCTGCTGAGCATGCTGTCCTCCAACTCCAAACGTCAGTCGCGCGCGCGCGCTGTCGGATCGAGGTCGATGGGATGTTCAGTCCCGATCTTGAGATGTGAGCTGAACCTCAGGCTTGCTGTTGTGCATTGCCCCCGGAGCCTCTGTTCTCCTCATCCTTCTATATCCTCACTATCTTACACTTGACCCTTGTCTGCTGTCTTCCATATTGCCATATTGGTGTCGTACAACTCAAGGGACGAGTACGATACTGGTGGCAGTCTCTTTCCAGCTGGGTCCCGAGGGACAGGTTCGATCCTATGGGCACCATTCCTGTTGAAGGACTCTAGGACTGGACTCTCGGAGCAGAAGGCCAGTGACGCTATGTTGGCAGTCTAAAGGGCCGATGTTCGGAAATACTGGTGGCGCTACGAATTCTGGAGTGTGTATGAGGGTGTGATCCATCCTTAGTCGGTGGCTTGTCACCAGCGAGAAGTTAGGATATATCGACAAGGGCAAACACACAGAGAGTGGTCTCATCGACGTTATGCTGATTATGCAGACATGACGGGTACGGTGCGGCTGTGGCGTGCTCGGTTGTGGTTCGGCACAGACATAACTGGATATACGAGGAAGATATTTGCGGTGTTCTACCGTGAAACCGACCATGCTGAGGTCTCTGACATGCTACCCAAACGCGCCCAGCTGCACAGCCAGCATCCACTACGAGCCACAGCGCAGGGCCGGTCCCCGACTGTCCTTTCAAGGAGCTTTGACGTCTGTAAAACTCTTCTAGTCTCTGTGTGACGGCGGCCCCGTCCGCCTTGCGGTCTCCTTTGGGACGCCCGCTGGAGCTCTTGGAGGCGATGGGCTATCGCCGTCGCCTATGCCGGCAAAAAAGAAGAGCACTTGACGGCCCCTTGCAGGCGGGCTGCTTGGCCGTCCGGCAGCTTGGCACTTTTGCCCAACTCTGGAATCTCGAGCCAACCGTCCTCAAGCTGCCACAAGGCCCGGAAATGCATTTGAAGTCGGGACTTCCTTCCCGATCAAACACCCGCAGGTTCACAAACAACAAGCTCTACGACTCTACGACTGAATGGTCACCTCCCGGACATGGAGCTCGTGGAAGCAGGGTCTCCAAGATCCGTTCACCGAGTACCTGAGATGGGATGGGGTTTGAGACAACTGTCCCTGGACTTCCCTCGTTAACGTCGCGTCTCCTGCCAACATCTTGAGCAGGCCAGTGTGCAGATGGGGTTGCCGAGTGGCTGCAGGAGGCCGTCTCCGGCAATGGACACTCGGATGGACCTTCTGCCTTGAGGCTCCACCTAGTAGACGCGCGGCTTCACAGAGATACTGAAAGAATGCCTGGAAAAAACCCCCAAGGGCCAAGGCGGCCAAGGGGCGAAGCAAGTCCCAAGCCCAGCGAGACTTGCAAGGTCTTGCAGCATGATCCTCGCTTCTCGCCCACATTGACGTAGTCAGATGCGCACCACAAAAAAAGCTTCGAAGCGGCAGCAGTGAGTAGCCTTGTCATAGTCTCGTACGTAGCTTCACTACTGAGTTTTGCCAGCCTCCGTCGCAAGTGGACTTGTTGCTTAAGTCGCCGACTGTGCGTTCGATTTGTCTCGTCTCGTTGCCTTCACCTGGTGCTCGTGGCCACTATGGTTGCCCCTTGCTGCGCCTCTGGAGACGTGCTCGGGGCACCCTTCCTCGCCCCTGGGTTTCCAGACCTGTCCTTGCCCCCCGACGAGTACTCACGTACGCTTGAAGCCTGTGTCGACTCCACACTGAATTCAAACCAAGCCAAGAGAGGGCCACTCAAGCACAGCTTCTCCTGCACATTCACACGTCTCGAGTCTCGTCTCGGTCACAAGCGCACAGCACGGCGACCGACGACCAACTCCTGAATCCCGGCATGTCGCGGCTGCGCAAATCTCGACCCGGTTCGCATCGCACCGTCCGGCCACTTGCCTTTGCCTCTGTCGGCTGACCGCTGACCAGCTGTGTACAACTCTGCAGGGGGCTCACATGATCCGGCTGTAATGCAGCAGCCAGCGAGCCGCTGAGTGAACTTCTAGCAGGTCCTGAGGGATTCTGCATCTTCCTCTGGCAGTCTGACCGTCTTCTGCAACTCCGGAAACGAGACCATACCTCAAGCCATGAAAGCTCAGGGTCTGCCCGGCCGCGCCATCGAAACATCGCACCATGCAACTCTGATGCAACCAAGGCTCCATCCTCAGAAAAACATATCTGCTGGATTGGGGCGCGCCACGACTTGGCTTGTTCGCCGGCGCACACACTCAGCGTGAATGCACTGCTCGAAATGGGGGGAGTCGTTTTTGTTGGCCTTTTCTGTTTTTGCCTCGGGAGTGTATTTTACATGAGTATATTGTGCTATTAGTTTCTATTCTGCTATAAGACAGAAAAATGTATTATACCATAAACCTTATATATCACTGCAGCTAGTATGTGCTATTTTATTCTGCTCGATAATACTAGGCTATGTTCTATTGGTTAGACCATATTGTATTATATTATTTTTCTATTATGTCATGTTTTATCATTGTATATTGAAATACATCATCCTATGTAATAACATGCCTTCGTACAAAAGAGTTTGTTACATTAACTAACACTACGTTACATTGGATATATTCTGCTTCAAGATCTGGCCTCGAAGTTGGATCTTGCGCTGCCCATGCACACGAGGTCACAGACGGATGTTTTTCTGGACTGCACTAAGGCGTAGCTCTGAGTTGGCGCTTTGCCCTCCCTTGAGGAGAACAGCAAAAGGTTGGAACCACAATCACAGATGCTTGTGTGTGCACTTCGATGCACATCGACTGATATGAGCACAAGCAAGTGCTCAACATGAATCCCCACGACATGACCTGTGTACAAGTTCGAAATCCTTGCAGGATCTTCACACAGGGGAGAGGAAAAATGTTGCTACGAGCAATGGCTCATGCACAGCTCGTACAAGGCCAAAGGCTCAGCGTTCTCTCAAAGCTTACTCAGCACAGTCGCGGCACATCGAAAAGCGCCGGTGACCGTGATCCCGTATGTGGCCACACTCCGGAGTCACATGAGCGACACGTCCATGTCTGGTGATGTACACTGCATCCACTGCGCGCGGAGGTGCGGGTGGTGAGTGTTGAGCAGCAGCAGCTTGGGACTGGTGTTCACGTAGTTCTCGAAGGACCCTGTCGTTCTCATAATCCAACCGAGCACAGCCACGCATGTCCAGGTTCGTCTGCTCTGCCATGGTTCTCGTCGTTGTCGTTGTCCTCGAAGTTGTCCTCGAAGAAGGCGAAGAAGTTGACGAAGAGGTCGATCTTGTAGTAGACGAAGCTGTTGACGTACTCGAGGTTGTTGCCGAAGAGGTAGAACGTCCGCCGCTGTAGTAGGTCAAGAAGAACACTGGGACGAAGAGCACCAGGATGGTCAAGATGAACTCCATGTTAAACACGAAGGTCCCGTGGAAGCCAGCCTCTGCGGTCATGCTCTCCACATCCAATCCATCAGCTTCACCTGCCAAGACCGCCAGGATGCGTGAGATGTGTCTGGCAATCCTCGAACCGCGTACAGGTTGGCCAAAACCACCAAAGGTAGCATGAGCATCACGTTCTCGTTGTTCCACAGTCTTCTTCTTGGCAGCCTTGAAGTTCTCGTCGAAGGTCAGCTTGATGTAGCCGGATTTCATCCGATCCACCATGCTCTGTCGCGCTGAAATCTTTGTCATCCCATCGGCAAACATGCGCTCCGATGAAACCCATCGAAGTTCACAGTCCAAGTCTTTGATCTTCTGCTGGATGCACAAGATTTCAATCGCCGCTCGCTTGTCCTGCTGGCTTGTGAATCCCGGCTTCTTGATCGCGTCGAACAAGGCCTTGGCATCAATCACAAGCACTGACTTTCCAAAAAGCCTTGCCGTGGCGGGGCTCCGTGGATCAAGAGTGGGATCGAACATCAGTGATATGATAGACTTGATCATCATGAGTTCATCGAGCGCTGCTGCACAAGCTTGGGCCTCTGCGGCCAAAGATGAGCGACACACTCTCGTGAGCTTGAAGCTTTTCCATGTCACCACGTTGTATGGCACAGACTCGCCCTTCAGCACCTCAATCGGCGCCGCAATGATCATGAAGCCACTCTGTGAGGAGTTATCCTTTCGGACTCCAAGTGCTGCATCAGAGAAGCACACAAAGGCGAGCTGGTTCATGTCACTTGCGATCCTAGACACTTCAAGGGATTCTGGGCGAGGGCTTTTGCGAAACGAAGGGCCTTGTTCAACTCAAGAACCAAATGCCCATCTGCTCCACTCACCATAGCGGCCAGTATCGACACAGTAGCAGACAAAGAAGGCATCCCCTGAACAGCTGGCCACTGCAGAGCTCCAATCAAACCCCGAACTTTGGTGACGCCCTTGCCATCGAGAAGTGCCTTGGGGTCACCTTTCTGATGTAGTCGGCGTAGCTGACAATCAAATTGCCGTCCTTGAGCTCAATCTTGCCTCCACAGTAGACAAGAAAACTAAGAAAACCCTCCTTCGACAGAGTTTTCCACTTGCCAAACGCGAGCATCCCTCGTAACTTGGTGAGTGCCTCCTTGGCTTCTGGGTGATCACGATCCCCACCCAGCAGCACATCGTCAACATGGAGAAGAAGTACAAGGATGAGGGTGAGGTCTCCTGCAAAGAACATGTACAAGCATCGATCAAGTTGATGTCGCTTCCAGTTGGCACTTGTGAGTCTCCTGTCGGCCTCGCGATACCACAAAAGAGGAGCGTCTGAAAGGCCATACGCGCTTTTCAGCAATCTCATAACAGTATCGCCTGAGATTCCCAGAAGAGCTCCACAGTCTTTCGGAAGCCTCACGAGGATGCGGCGATCAAACTTGGCTCCGCTCAAGAAGGCAGCCTTAACATCGCCACACCACATTTCGCATCCAAACACCAGGATGAGGGCCAAGAGGATCAGCTTAGACTGTCGTGTTGCTGTGGGACTCACTGTCTGCAAATCCAGAACATCAGGATCTTAAGCCTCGCAAAACTAACCGTGCTTTGGCCCGTGGAGGGCCGCCATCCTCACTGGGTTTCCATGTAAGCACCCAGCGTGCCGTGACGGTTCGATGCTTGTCTGCTTGATCCGCGGAGGCAAACTCCCAGACCATGTTGTCGAAGTAGCTTGTGAGCTCCTTTCGCTTGGCCTCCATCATTTGAGCTCGCTGGTCCGGATTCATGTCCTTCTCGTTCGCCTCCTTCGCCGCCAGCCAAACTTCATCCATTGAGAATCCGCCATCGACGACAATCCAGCCTTCAGGCAGATCTGTTGACCCAACATCGATGACAAAGACATCATCGATGCATAAATCGTCGTCCTCCTCCATGGGCAAAGGAACGTCCACTGGATCAACGGGGATGGCATCACCGTCAACTCGAGGGGAAGAGGCAACCGCAGATGAAGAAGCAGCGGCCTGCGCAGAAGCGGGAGGCGTGATGTGAGGGCGCTTGTCCACCGGGCGGGCGGGCGGGTCGGCGCTGACGCCAGGAGCAGGCTCCGGAACTGAGGACGTGCTGATGCGGCGGCGCCGCTGCTGAAAATCAGCAGCCTGCTGATACAACAAAACAGCACCCGGAACAGGCAGCTCCCGTTCGCTGTCAGCATCGCTGTCATGGTGAGCATCAGGTGGCATGGAATCCTCAGGCGCAACACTAGGGGAATACCCGTCAAAGTCAATATCATCCAGAGGGTCAAGAAGATCATGAACCTGTGGCTCAGCTTCAAGAACATCCCGAAACTGAGTGGTGCTACGGGCACGGAGATCCTTCAACGCCTCAAGCGCCGCATTTGGATCAGCAACAGGCCGGCATCCACTGTCCTCGACAAGAGGCCGCACCTGATGAGGACCACATCGCAAGAGATTCGTGCGGTGAGTCACCCAAATGACCACCGCCTTGCCTTCATCGTTGGTTTCCTGCGCAACGACACGCGCCATTTGGACTTCTGCAAGGTAGAGGTCCCTTGCACCCGCCAGTACCAACATTTTTGCCCAACAGCAGGAACTTCATCTTGATGTTCACGGAAATTCTTGTTCAAGCCACGACGCAGCTTCGCATCCACATCGGCTTTCACAAAGGCCTGCTGTGCTGCAAGACGTCGCTGCATTATCTCCGCAAACTCAGATGGATCATTGATGGCGTCTACGCCGGGGTTAAAGACCACTCAAGCTTGTTGCGCTCATTGGTGATCGGCCCGTCAGCCATTGACTCGGAGTGAAGCCGTGCACAAAGCTCATGTTGTTGATCTGCGAGGGAACATACACAGCAGCAGTCTTTAGATTGCTGAAGGAACGCTCGCCCATGTCATCCATGAACAGCTCAAGCGCCCGGCGAACCACCTGATGTTTGCGTTTCACACTGCCCAGCCAATTGTGACATTCAGCCGGGGCAACCTCCAGAGTAATGCCGTTGGCGGAGGTCCAGTCTCGAAGTCTTTGCGAAGCCCAGCCCTTGGCCTCGTCGACACGCAAGTACTTAGGCACACCCCATCGCTTTATCCATGCTCTTTCGACGCCCTTCACAAAGTCATCTGCACGTTCATGAGCAAGAAGCCGGATGGCAACATATCTTGTGGCCTGGTCCATCAAGGTCAGCACGCACTTGCATCCCTCGGTGGTGTCAATCCAGGCACTGGCACTGTCCGTCACCAATCTATCACCGAAATTCCTGACGGTCAGACCAGCTGCTGGAGGAACACCAGGTGGAGGAGGTCGTCGGGCATGGCACGTTGGACATACATACTTCTTGGCAGCTGTATTCACAGCTTCTGTTGCCTGCACTTCTTCAAGCATTCGAAGAAGTGTCTCGCCACTCGGGTGCCCCAAGCTTTTGTGCAACCTGGTCACGTAGTTGAAGGCTTGGCTGCCGACCTCCTTCCGCAGCAACTTGTTCACCTTGATGAACTCATCCTCCCTTTCATCATCGGCATTCTCCTGTGTCGCATCCGGGAGAACATCGCCGTCTGCATCCAAGCTGGCATCGTCGCCGGCATAGACATCCTCCTTCTCAGACTCGCTCTCCACCATTATGCCTTGCAAGCTGCTTCGCCAAGTCTTGGGGATAGCTCTCAGTCACACCCTTTCGAACTTCAACCTCGCGGTGCACGTGCCCATGATCTCCACTGCAAGGGCGGCTCAGGCCTCTGAACACCTTGCTCTTGGTGGTGAAGACACACGTTGGCTTCCGTACTCAACGTCGCCTGCCGTCGAGATCAGTCACCTCCAAGCCATACGCACACTGGTCGACATGAGCAGCTTGCCCTCGAAGACGGCATAGTGCTCTAGTCATCCATGCCCGACTTTGCCATGGGTGATCGATGTGGGCATGGCGTCCTCCTTTCCGTTGTTCTTCATGTACAGAGGCCACAAAGTTAATTAAGCGTGTTTTCATGGTCACGGTGACGAGCCTCACACAAAGCACGCTTACGCTCAGGACTGGCGTCCAGACTAGTCTCTTGAAGCATGCTCCAGAGTGCACAGGGAGGAGACAACAGAATCTCATCGGGCTGTTCATTCTGCAATTCTCTGAAGAACCTGCGCCGATCTTTTGGACTGTCAAAGTTCCAGCCTGTCCTTTTGCCGAAAGTCTCGGTTCGGGCACCCAGTTCCTTGGCATACATAGACGTTCTTCCGGAACCAGGAAAGACCTCCGATATCAACTTGCTGTGACTGTGGTTGTCGACGCCAATCTTCTTCGCATGCTGCAGCTGCTGCTACTGTCTTTTCGCGTGCAGCTTGCCTCGAGCTAGCGACTTAACTTTGACACCCTCGGAATAGAAGACCTCTGGCCCACCAACATCAAAGCGAACCTGGGACACTGTTGCGACTTGTGCTCTGGAACCACTGCCGATGTCATTGGAGACAGCATCGGGATTGTGGTCCATGTCGTTGGAAACTGTGTCGGGATTGTGGTTCAGGTGGCTGGAGTTGGGATTGTGGTTCATGTCGTGGAAGACTGCGTTGGGATTGTGGTTCATGTTGTCGGAGACTTCGTTGATGCTGGATGTACCGCTGTGTTGTGTAGCGGCTCAACACCATCAAGGAACAGGTGCGGAGTTGGCTCAAGCCCAGCCGCGTCTTCCTGACCTTCTTGCAAGACCATAGTCCAACCACCACTGTGGACTTCATGCGCGGACTCCCTGGATGCTCCATCACGCTCACCGCTAACTGCCAGAATGTCATCGTCGTCGAGGAAAACGTGGATGCCCACATGGTCCATGACATTCACATGCGACTGGAAATCAGCAGGCGTCAAGACATCGTCTTCCTCGCTCATGCCCAAGATGAGGCCTTGGTCCTCTGTCAGGTCCAGCAGATGCTCCCCTTTTGGTCCCAATGGAATCGAGATCCACTGACTCCACTTCATCCGCTGGGTCCCATAATCCACGGAGAGACCAAGCTGCTGTAGGATGGGTCGCCCAAAAAGCAGAGGAGCAGTGCCGCCAATGACATATGTAAGAACTCGAAGTCGTCGGCCTCCAACCGCAGTCGGCAACAAAAGACATGGCTCCGTGGACTGCCGCCGAATTGCCATAGCGGAAGCAGCCTTTCTTGCACTTGAACACCTCGATCGTAGAGACGTCAAAGCCAATTTCCATGAGGTGCCTCAACTATTGGCGAACACTGTGCCGACTTCCTAACACGGAAGCAGCACCTCCATCCTGCACGGCGAACTTGCATGACTCATCCTCGTCGTGGTCCGTTTGATCCAAGGCATAGACCTCGGTCAGCATCATCACGGCATCATCGGCCTCAAGCTTGCGCTTCTTGTCTGCAGAGCCATTGGAAGGGCAATTGCGTGCCCAATGACCTGCCTGACCACATCTCAGGCAGATCTGGCGACCAATCGCCGCACGGCCCCTCTGTGCAGCCTTGCCACCACCTGGATGAACAGGACTCTGCGACGACGAACCTGTGGACTTGGAGTGCCCCTTCTTGCCCTTTCCTTTGCCCTTTGCCCTTCTGGCTGCCCTTGGGAGAGGAACCACGGCCTCCGCCCTTGTCCACCAAGGCAACCACAGGGTAGAGGCCACGAGCTGTCCTCACATAGATGTTCTCGCCTTCGTCCGGGCCGTCATCGTAGTAGTGCTCGTCCTGGTCGGGCCATGGTTGCCCCAAGCTTCCATCATCTCCTTGCCAGTACACATAGTCGTCGGAAGACCACCAATCATCACCATCCTCCAGGTAGATCTCGTCCTCGGCGATATAGTCACTGCGTTTCCGGAATTCCTTGTAGTTACGCAGCACATTGTCAAAGACAGGCACATACTGGTCAGCCGGAACGGATGCAGACGTGGATGTAGCAGGCGATTGCGAAACTTCTGTCCCCTCGGGCGGCATCCTAATCACACTGCGTAGCGGCAGCGGTGGAGCGCTTCAGCGCTCCGCTACCAACTTCAAGATCTGGCCTCGAAGTTGGGTCTTGCGCTGTCCATGCACACGAGGTCACAGGCGGATGTTTTTCTGCACTGCACTAAGGCGTAGCTCTGAGTTGGCGCTTTGCCTTCCCTTGAGGAGAACAGCAAAAGGTTGGAACCACAATCACAGATGCTTGTGTGTGCACTTCGATGCACATCGACTGATATGAGCACAAGCAAGTGCTCAACATGAATCCCCACGACATGACGTGTGTACACAATCGAAATCCTTGCAGGATCTTCACATTCTGTATATACATATACTGTATGTCGCAAAATAAAACAACAGTGCCATATTTCGCAGTAATATCAAACAAAATAGCATAAAACATAATATGCTGTATATAATATGCTATAAGGTTTAATGGTATAATAGATAATTCGGTATCATAGCAGAATGGAGACTAATACTAAAATATACTCATGTAAAACTCACACTTGTGTAATATGAGCTGTCTACTCATATTTTAGCCAAATAAGTTCTGCATTATCTTGATATAGTATCCATATAATCATATAGCACTACTAGCCTTTTACAAAACCATTGTACAGAATTGCAACGTATTTTTGCAGTATTGCCAACACTGGAATTTACTATTTATTCAACGTTTGTATAATCTCAATGTACTTATCATATGAATTAATATCTATATCTGGTAGACAAGTGCGCTTTCTACATGAGAGGTCGTCATGTGATTACGGTATGTTGCTTCCTCCTATATATTGCTTCCAAGCCCCAAGCCCACTTGTAAGTAAAGACTTGGGCCTCCNNNCCCCCCCCCCCCCCCCCCCCGAGGCAAAACAAAAAAGGTCAAACAAAAAAAAAAGCTTTGCTCGAAATCTGCGTGCGGCTTGGAAGCGCCATCCACGGTGTACCTGACGAGTGTGCTTGCTACAAATCTGTCATCGTCTGGTCCTAGCCGCTTTCCAATGCTGACAAGCTCGACACATGTCTCTGTGCAAGCAGTGCAGACATGGTGTGGTTCGTGGTCACTGAAACCAGCCAGTGGCGCTGCAGGCACCGAGAGCTGACATGAAATCGTAAAACGGATCCACGGGTACCTTCACATGCAATCAGCAAAGCCTCCACCCTCAAAAAATAACAAGGGAGGTCTCCTCTGGCACCGCGGAACATGACCTGGGTTGGCTGTGAATGGCGGGGTGCTTCGTTCTTTTTCTTAATACCGCTGAGCCGCTCCGAGATGGACCTTGCAAGCGAGTTCCTGGAGCTGCCTCCTGCACCAGGCGTTTCAAAGGGCGTTAGCTGCGAGAAGGCAAAGGCCCCCACTCCTCAGCGGGCTTTCGAGACCTTCCGGTAGCTGGAAGGACTGCCCTGCCATGTCACCATATTATGTCGCCATGTCTCTCTGCGCTTCAATCATGGGGCCCGGCCTATTTCAGGGAAATCCACGGAGCCATCCTGCATGAAGGTCATCTGCTGAAAAGTCGGCATCACATCCCCGTCCAAGGAGCACTGCCTTGGGCACGGCTGACGTTCAAGTGCGGGTGATGCACCGGCACTTAGTACAAGCTCTTGCCGAGCTGAGGGAAAGGCAAGAGTCGATCATCTGCACAGAACACCCGCACGGCACCCCTCGATCAGCTCTGCCACACCCCGTTTCGCATTTCACAGCACGACACAAGCCTCGAATCTCTGAACTGCACGGCCACAGATGCCGCCATCGCCAGACTTGGTTGGACAGATTGGGGCCGCGAATGCCTACACCGCATGGAGTACAAACTCGACCACTAGACTTCACACCAGCTCATAGCGCCGAACCAATAGGCTAAACATGCCAGGTTGCTCTTGAAGCTGTGCCCTGGTGGCGAGGCTGGCTTGCTTGACTGTCTCTTGTACTCCACCTTGCTGCGCCTCAATTCGGCCGCTTCGGCCTGTGGCAGCTTGGCCGTCGTTCCCAGCTCTGGGAAGTGCACGAAAGTGTCCTGCAAGCGGCATGTTCTCAAACTCACTTCTGTCTTGTTCCCAAATCATGTCTTGAACCTTTTGCCACTGCCGCCTAGTCCTACACTGATCGAGGATGCGAAAGGCGAAGGGGGAGGGGCGAGGTACTACCCAGGAGCAAGGTGAGCTTCGACGCCCGGAACGTTTGTCCTACTAAGGCTGGGCTGCATGGGCACGCCGCTGTGGGCTTCGAAAGCGCGCAAACCTTTAAATGAAGTCCAAATGCCATGCATATAAGCCCAGCCAGCAAAAATCCAAGCGTCGGTAGGGCCATGCTCTGGGAAGCAATCATACACACAATAATCCCCGGGCGATGAATATCCCAAACACAACAAGGCAAGGCACGTGGCGTAGATATTGCAAAACCGTCCATCCAAACCGATGTTGCAAAACTATTGAGAGCATTCAATCCGCTCAACAAAGGCCAAGATCCCACACCCGGCTTGATATGCAAGTGCGACTGGACCACCTTCCTCTGACTTCTGAGATTCTGGGCACGGGCACCTCGAACTGCATCTTGGAGAAAGGAGGGCGACAAGCTCCGTCGACGGTGTACTGCAACTTGCCTTGGCCTCAGCAAATCTCTTTCGCTTACCTGGCTTGTGGATAAGCCAGCTTTCTGCGGCCATACACTCGGACTTGCCGACTTGGCTCCATGCTCGCCAGCGTCATCCGCACGCAGCCCTTGCCTCTGGCCTTGTGCGGATTGGCGGCACACACAACTTCTGCTTGAGAAGGAACTGCAGCAGGGGAAGCAGGAGGGGGTAGGGACGTTCGAGTAGGGAATTCAAGCCCCCTACCCTCCCCGTACCGCCCCAAGGGTCCTTATGATCTGCTGCACCATCGCAGCAGTTTTACAGCTGTCTCCGTAAGAAGCTCACAAAAATTGTCAAATTATATGAACCACTCAGAGGAGCCTCAACGAAGGATGCTCCGAAACCCATCTCAGCGGCCAGCACCTGCGCCGAACATGAACTAGGCATCACGCACGGCATCCTAATTCGCTAGTGCCGAAGACAAGAATAAATTTGCAGAGCAGATCTTGATTTTGACCTTAGCAGACCAGTGCAGCTTCACGTATTCTTTCATGCCACCCCATGCACCTGCCGCTCGGCACTGCATGACTCCCTATGCATGGCACTGATCGTGATGCGTTCCACCTATCATGTCCTTTTGGATTGGGGGCTTCCCATTCGACTCTCACGTCTCGATTAGTGCTTGTCGTCCGTTCGCAGGGGCCATGCAAATCTTCTCTGTATCGTTCCACTTTTCGCATCAAAAGGTTCCCACCCCATTGTAGCATGTTTTGCTTACCACTCGCTTGGGCGACAGTCCGCAGCCTGTGAGTGTCTCTCAGCTCGCGCAAGCCTTTTTGAGATGCAGCTGACTTGACCCACATCTAAACTTCAGGCAACATGAAACATGATAAAGCCTCTACCGCGGAGTAGCAAGCCTGCAGAGTGGACCGGATGCAGGCTGTTGCCGGTTTCGGAAGCTGGGCGGAATGGCCAATGTCCGGGAACCTGGTGCAGTCTGCTCTTCGGTCGCAGATGGTCGCGGCAACACGTTGAGCCCTTGAGCCGCGTTGCATGACCAGGTCGTCATGAAACTCCAGCTGCCTCAGGTGGGAACCAATACTTACGAACATCTGCAACATGGTGTACTGTAGCAACGAGCACGAACTAGAGGAGAGTGACACAGACACAGCAATACCAACACAGACAGACAGACAGACAGACAGACAGACAGACAGGCAGCCAGGCAGACAGGCAGACAGGCAGACAGGCAGACAGACAGACAGACAAACCAGGCAGGCGGGCAGGCAGCCAGGCAGGCAGACATGCGCAGGCAGACAGAAAGACAGCCAGCCAGCCAGGCAGGCGCAGCGCGGCGCAGGCAGACAAACAGACAGACAGCCTGCCAGGCACAGGTAGACAGCCAGGCAGGAAGGCAGGCAGGCGCAGGAAGACAGACAGACAGCCAGGCAGGCAGGCGCAGGTAGACAGGGCCTCGCTAAGTGCACTTTAGGGTCCATTGGCATACATTGATTGCAACCTCAGCATTTTTGGAAGAAGAGCGCAGTTCAACCATCCAATCGGAGCCCCTCTTCGCTCAAAGGCCAGCCTTTCCGGAGCAAAGCTCGGAACCTGGAGACGATTTACTTCAACCCTTCTTGAGGTTTCCCTAGCCGAAGCCGCCGAAAGGGCGGGCGCCAACTTCCATCCACCGTGTATTGAAGACCATGGCCCGCCAAGGACACTCTGACCAGTGCATTGCTTCGTGCCTGGCAGTTCGTAGGCAGGAACTGAATCCTTGCATGCATGAAGCGCTTCCTGCCACCACTACCATTTACAACCACACTACTACTACGACTCCTACTATGTCAGCGTGTCAACTGCTACCTGCGTGTACTACAGCGACTGCCAGGACTAGACGACGACTACGACCACCAGTCTGTTATCATCATCAGCTTCTTTCGTCTTCATCAACACAACCACTCACGACCGACTCTTGCTGCTGTTGGTCGGGTGTTCCAAGAACATCCTTCAACCAATTATTTGGCAGCATTCTCACGCATCATGCACTACTACATGACCGTGTGACCACTTGATGTCGCCTGCCTCCAGAAACTTCGCGCCGATGCCCGAAAAGCAAGCCAGCTCTTGAAGTTCTGCACGGAGTCGGTTTGCATCGTTCTGAATGAGCCGCACCTCGTCGATGCGCATTCGGCAGCAGAGACAGTGGGGCAGACAGTGGCGTCGCACCCAACATGTAGCGCCGTTCATGTTCCGAGAAAAAAAGCCCTCATGCCGCGGAGTGGGTAATGCTGGCGTGGAGGGAGAAGCAAACATCGGTAAACTTGGCCCATAGGTCATACCCCTTTCGGCTGCAAGCAAAATGAGCGGCTCGAAAAGATTTTTCACATCACTCGACATGCGGCATTGCTCTCAATCAGAATCAACTGCGGTGTGGTTAAACGGTTAAATGATCATGTTTGAATCACGCCTTCACGGGCCCGACTCTCCCCTCGCTGCCTCGTGGCCTTGTTCAGAACGAACCGCTGCCCTACCCTTGCCTTAAAGCAGGCATTCCTTTCAGAGCAATGCCTTGAGTCCCTCAAGGAATTTTGTCGCTCCGATCTGCTCATTTCACCGCCTTGTTCCATCATTTTCAGGTACTCAGCTCTGACCTCTGCCTGTCGCCTGCGTCGTCAGATGATATTTGCAAAGCCGCGGTCCGTGCCGCAGCCACGATCATGACCTGCAAAACATCCCCCACACCCAAGTTTTTCCAGCAGGGTGTCGGACAATCTGATTGTCAAAATATGTCAAAATATAACAACCTCAAGGCCACCAGGTGGCTCTCCCCGTCACCGTCCCTCGAAGCTCTTGCATTCAAGAGCACAACTTGTTGAAGTTCCGGTAGCTCCACGGTTGAGTCCTGCAACTTACAGTCTACCGGGCTCCAAGGTGTGAGAGGCGCGTCACCTCGTTGAAAGTCATGTGTCGGAATGGCCGTCTCCATGACCCGTCTATGGCCTAAGCACGTCTGCAGTCTGGACACGAGTCTCATCCTGTGTCTCTCCATGTTGCCGTCAAGATTGGCTACGGCTATGAGGCCAGGTCAAAGCATTGAAACATATTGAAACACTTCCTG